TGGATTGCTTTGAATACTAATTTGTATTTGCAGTCCCTACTGCTTAATGCCACATGCAAACACAGTAAGCATCCTCTGTACTCCCTCATCTCAGTCACCAGTGGAAATATGAAGGACCTCAAGGGATGTAATCTCCCATTTTGACAATGTTTACTACTAGCTACTCTCTGAAAGGAGTTGGTTACTCACCTCTCAGAAGATCCATCTAGACCATGTTTCCTCATTTTATTTGTGAGGATATCACTAGACAGACTATGTTAAGAGCATCTCTGTGATTTGTATTGATCTTCACAGCTGCTGTGCAATTATACATGGATCTGGGTTCTTTGAATTAAAATTGTCCTTTTTTGTCTATACAGGATATTAATCTGCATTTGTGCCTTTCTTCTATAAGAACGATTTTATAAGAATTATTTTAAAAGTAATAATTTGAGTAATGGAATTGGTTGTTGTTGTTGTTGTTGGGGTTTTTTGTTTGTTTGTTTGTTTTTGAAAAAAGAAATAGGTTAATTCAGCTTGCAGATTAAGACTGCAGGGGATACGTCTACCTATACAGTAGCTGTCTAATCTCCTGTTATAATCCACAAGCATCTAGTCAGGACAGACAGTTCATTCTAGAAGGCTACTCAGCTCACCCAGAAGTATACATTAAATGTCCAGTCACATGAGTTGACTCTAAACTCAGTCATTTCACCTGGATCTCCACAAACTCTAGTGGGAAGTTAGACTTGGGCCTGATTCTGGGTGCCTTGACCCATGAGCCAAATCCTGCCTGCTAAATTCTATATGACACACAGGATAATATGCTGTATTCAGTATGTTCCACTCATGTTTTATTACACATTTTTAGAGTGCAGAAGAAAAACAGAGAGAAGGATAATATTTACAGTACAAGTAGGAGTAATGCTGCAACAGTGGAATTGTTATTGCTGATGTCAGTAACTACTTACTGTAGTGGGTAAGTGATCTGTCATGTGAAAGGGGTAGTAAGTCTTCCTAACTGACCTATGAGATCATCTTTAATTAATGTTTACTAATTATTAATGCTTGCATTTATAGTGATTGGGCATTATCCTGTAAAAAAGCCCAGGGGACTGGGGAGGAAGATAAAGTAGTAACAGAATAAGAAACGTGCACCAGCAACACTGTTAAAGTTTGTTTCCCTTATAACTTGATTTCCCTTTAAGGCATCTTATCCTATATACAAGAGGGAGGTTTGGATACTGCTGTAAGAAATCACAAAATGGGGAAGGTTTTTTAGCATGGATGTAGTTTCAGCTGGGAAACAGTTCACTGAACGATTTGCTTTTTCACAGATATTCGCAACCATCAGGGTTTTTTTCTCCTGCACAAATAGATAAAAAAACCAGGAATGTGTGAGAATCCAACTGAAATAATCAGGCCCTAAAAAGTAAGAACAAAGAATAGCATCTCCTGGTCCCTCTTTGATATCCATGCAAGACCCTCACTGTTCCACAGTTGCCCTCAGTGTAAAGTTGCTGTTCTAGAACTTTGCTGTCTGAAACATCAGTTCATCTCAGGAAACTCGTGAGTGTTAAACTATGGTGGGCAAGATTTGGGGTCATGGCAGCTCTTCTGTGACGTGATATTGCTGGGAGTTTTATGTATAAGAAAATTGTAATGCGATGATTTAGTCTTTTCATGTTTTGCAGGTTTACAGATGATTCCTGTCCCCTTCTGCTGTCTAGAGCTGTACCCTGGTGCTATAAAGGATACTCTCATTCTTCATCCTCCTAAGCTGACACAGGCCCTGCTTGTGATGCCTGGTATCATTTTTATGGTGTGAAATATCAGGGCTTTTACAAGCCTGGCTTTGTTAGACAAAATTGCAAGCCCTCACATGTGACTTAATTACAGTTCACTGATTTGTGGTTTGCTGCAAGCATAGAGCTTTCTTCCACTCATTTCTACCTACTCTCCAGCCTGCCAGATCTCAGAGAAGGGATGGGAAGAACTGGGAAACACACACTTTGAAGCTGATTTCCAATGCTGAGCACAAATCTTGCACAGAAACCTGCTCCTTTGTGCTTTCCACTGCATTCCACTTGTGCATGGCCCTCCTGTCCCAGCCACACAGCTTCCCTGTCCCACAACTCAGTGCAGCCTTCTGCAGCCATCCAGTAAAATGTGCCAGATGCATCCACTGTCCAGTCCTGCTGGGCCATGCTGTGCCTCATTCTGGAGCTGAAGGTCTGTGGGATCCTTTTAGATGGAGATAGACCTGAAGGGAGTTTCTCTGGCTGTGTGGACTTACACGAAGGGTCTCTGATACCTCACTCACCCTGCAAAATCCTGCCTTGCTGTATCTGCTGGGCTGACCCAGGCCGGCTGTGTCCAACGGGAAAAGCGGTGGTAAGTGAGCTCCACCTAAAGGCTCATCCCCAGTCCCAGCACTCTCCCAGAAAGGGAGGAGGAATTTACAGGGATTTCATCATGCTTGAGCTCACGCTGTGCTCCACCTCCAGGGAGAAGCGCAGGTTACTCAGCAAAATATAGGAGCAGCCAGTAATGCTCTTTGTCTCCATTGCAGCCAGGAGTGCTGCTGATCTAGCACAATTTTGTATCTATCACCTTTTATTTTATGGTTTTCAAGGTCATTTGTGCAGTTATTTTTTCTAACAACTGTGACACTATTGAGGTTTAAATGCATAGCCATATATTTATGAATATATAAAGGTAGAGTTGTGTGTGTTTCTCTATCTCATTGAAAGACTGTAATACTGAAAGACATTTCCCACAAAGCTGGGACTATCCGAAGTCAAGGCTTGAAACTGCAGCTTTTCACGTCCTAGAATAAACACGGTCCCACCTTCCCTATGTGTGTGTGCACATCATATTTCTATACCTAACACTACAGTTAAAGGGAAAAAATATCACAAAGTAGTCAGTAGTGAGTTTCCAATACCAGGTCACAAAATAGCCCCAGTGTTCTCAAGTTCATGGTACCTGCAGATGAAAAGCCAGCATTAGCACTTATATTTCCCTCCTGAGGCTGTTTCCAAATGGGAGAGTACATGCCAAGAGTATTGGACTACCTGCTTGTCATTGTTCAAGGCCTTAAAGGCAGCATCAAATATAAACAAAGAAACAGCATGGGAGAAATTAGGAAGGATGGGAATGGGTTCTCCCAGTGCAAGGACTCTCTTGTGCATCAAAGGGAATGAAATTTGTGAGGCAGTAGTAACTGTGGTCCCTGGAGTAGTAATATTTGAACATATCTAGCTCATAAAAATTAGAATCACTTTAAAGTTTGCACAGTCATGCTGCAGTAGGTCGTATTTCCAGTTCTGAAAATTCCATTACTGGGAATGTTTGGACAATGTGGAAATGTGTCTGACATTAGCAGTGGGATCCCAGCAGCACGATGGTTTCCACATGTTAAGAGGTGCAGGGTAGGTGAGCAAGGCAAGCAAAAGGGATGAAGAAAAAGAGTATAACTCTGTGTTTTCCTCAGTTAAGGGCAGCTGACTTGGGAACATCTCATGCTGAGGACTTCCAATATTCTGAGCAGGTTCTTTGCAGGAATGAATCCTTCCCTCCTTCCCTCCCTCATCACACTCAGGCAGGAGGCTCTGTGGTGCTGGCCAGGCTTTGTTCTCACTGAAGTTTCTGATTTCTCTCCTTCCATGTGAGTGACAGTGGAGTAATATCAATACTAAGCACCTTTGAAAAATCCCTCTCAGAATTCACTGTGTTTATTCAATTAAGTATTAATTATGGGAATTTTTTTGGCTAAAGAAAATCCCTTACTGTCATTTCATCAAAGTGTAGAATATGGTGTCTTACTTCCCCCGAATGTTCTCTGCTGTGTTTCATCTTCTGATGTATTTTTCCCACAGTTAGAGTCTGTAGAAGAGAACTGCCTTTTTAAATATTATTCCAGAGATGAGAAAGGGCATAATTTCTAAACACCATACAACAATTTTGTTAAAGTGCCTATAACCTCTTTGTCAATACTCTAAAGGGATCAAAACAAGAGTTGGGAACATCTGCAATTTAATAAATGAGACCAATAGAAAGAACAGATGAAAAGAATAAACATAGCCATGAAGCTAGGTATGGGATCAACCCGATCCCTTCTCTACAAGGAGCTATAGAACTTTATGTCTGGAATATTTGTTTGGCTCCAACAAGTGACCCCTGATGTGACCACAGAGAGCTGTATTTGAGCAGTCAGCTGAGGGACTCAGGAGGATTTGGGCACTTACTGGGATGTCTCCTTTCAGGAGAATGAGGAGTGATTCAGGCCAACTGCTTGCTAAATTTTGTACATCTTACAAACAGTGGTGGAAAACAGCTGCTTTCTAAGAGTGGTAGAGAGGGTCCAGGAGAGGTCTCTGCTCCTCTCCAGGCTTTTGGAAATGGTAGAAGGACATGAGGCTAAAGAGAGATGCCTGTGAAACAGAGCCTTGTTTTGTGCATATAAGTACACAGGAATATGACACAGGGATCAAGAGTTATTACTTCTAATAGTACCAAACCCCTCAGTAAAACTGTGGGGCCGATTGCCCTTGTGAATGTTTGAGTTCTGAAAAAGCATTTTTATGTCATTTTCAAAGAACAAAGCAGGCAGTAAGGACATCATCTCAATACCTAAAGTACTTTAAATGTGTATTCAATATTATTTGTGTGGATTTTTCAAATTTAATTTCTAATACAGTTAGACACCTACCTGGGAAATTTCCAGTCTCACAGTTTCAGACAGAGGTCTCTCTGGCCTGTTAGCTATAATGCAATCTATCTGAGAAGGCTGTCAGCCCCTTGTCTTTTAAATACTTCCAGAGTCAAAGAAAGTCATAGCATCACCCCCCTCCCCTTACACTGAGTTTTTTAATGGCATTTGGATTTTTCGAAAATACTTAGGGCCCAAGTCGGAGGAAAAATTCTTTATCAAGCAGAACTGCGTTTCCTAGAGGGTTTAATCCCATTTTAGGCAATTTCAGTAAGAAACTACTGTCTTTAAACATGTAGGACTAGTTACTGAAAAAACACCCACAGGAGGGAGCTCAGGGGCCTCTCTTTTCTCACATGAGGGACTAAGAACTGAAGTTAGACACACAGAGCAGCAGAGCAGCAGACTATTGCTATGGGACAGTAACCTCTTTTATTTCTCTCCTCTTTCACAAAAATATTCTGGCTGCAGGTTACACAGTGCTGCCTGAGCTTCACGGCTTCATGGTAAATCTGCAAGGATTTGGTGCACAGGTCTCAACTAAGGCTCATATGAAAGCCCAGCACAGGCTGTGGTGCTCCATGGATGTCAGCAAATTTGGCCTCTCCTTCACTGCCTTGAGCCCTGTGACAGCAGCTTACAAAAGCCCTGATAAAGGCCACTGAGAGACAGCCAGGCTCAGGAACCCTTGTCTTGCAGCAGTTCTTCTAGATCAGCAGGCAGGGTGAGGTGGTGTAAGGAAGGTCAGGGGCCACATCTCCAGGAAAGAAGGGAGTTCTTCAGTTTAGTGATCCATATAAAGGTTGAACCAGCAAACTGGTTTTGTGTCTGTGCAGCTTTAAGTGCTTAACCCACTGAAGCTGGGAACAGAATAAATAAAATTTGATAGGCCATGGGCTTTTTTGTCCAGGCAAATCACAGATTATTTCTGAATGGCAAAAACTACAGAGGCATTATAAGGCTTTTCTTACAAGCAAAGGGTCCCACCAGAGCTCTGGTGTTTCCCTCTGGTCTCCATGAGTACAGTCAATCCAGCTGAAACATAACACCACCACTGCTGGGGACAGGTGGCTTTCAAAAGCCAAGCTGGACTCAGAAAGTTAATCAAAAGGAAGGAGGGCATAGGGTGGTGACAGTCGAAAGTCTGTATCACATCTCATCTTGAGCAGACCACAGGATGATCACAGCTGAACCAGCCTTTCTGTGGGGGAAGGCAGTGTCTGAAAGGTGAGGTGCAGTGAGGGGGGAAAAAAGGACAAAGCCTTCTCATTCAAGTGCCAGCAAAAGGATGCTTTAGCAAAGAAAAAGCCCCAAAACATTATCTAAAAAACTGGGCATTGTCCTCCCTGTTGTTCAATTTAAGAAGCACTTACACAGTATTCTGACTTGAAAAACAGAGCTTAAGTATCCGCAGTGGTGTCAGACTAATAAATCAGGAAGCCAATTCATCTCCAAGCACTATTTAGACTCCTTCTCACTATGAGATATGAGCCAGATCCTGTAGTTTTTACCCGAAGCCTCATTTTCATTTGCTTCAATACACCACCTGAATTTTACCTCAGGTAGCACCTTTGTGCTTCAGTCAGCACCTAGTTGCCTAAAATGCTGACAAAAAAAAAGTGTCAAAATATAGTTTTATAACTGACTTTGGTGCACTTGGTTTTGAAGAATAGCTCCTCCTTTTCTTAAATGTTAATATGAAGATTGCCTGACAAAGCCAAAAGGAGAATTTGAAAGTTTAATTCACTGTTTAATATCAAGTTCTAGCTATTTACAGGTATGTTTTGTCTTGTCATTCATAATTTCTGTTCTGTTCTTTCCATGCAGTTATTCAGCTCAGCAGTTCAATTAGATAATGCTAAATTCACCTCAACATTTATGCTTGGCAATGGCCTTTGAGGTCCCAAGGTGATGATTTCATTAGAGGAACCAAGCAGAAGTGCATGGAATGTGGGGGTGAGAGGGGGAAAAAAAGCTTTTGTCGAAACACAAATATCTTCTGTGAGACCTATTTGAGCAAATATAGCTTTGGCACTGTGTTAGCGAGGGGGATGTGGGAATAAATACCGGCCAAGCTCTTCTCTCACTGTTAATATTCTCTTTTTTGCTAAATCTCTCAGGCATGGTCTAAGCTCAACCCCCTCCTCTCTCCTCCCCAGAGGACCACGGTCAGGGCCATGCTGTCCTGCCGTGTCCCAGCCAGCCAGCCTAGCCATTTGCAGCCATGCAGGAGTGCTGCAAACTGCACCCAAATTTCGTGTCACAGCCCCCTCATTTTGCACTGGCAGAGGAGACCAGTGGCAGCCCAACCCGGGGGGAGGTGATGCTGGATATAGCAGTGACCCTCCAAACATTCCCAATTCCTTAGACAACTGCATAGCTCTGTTTGTGTGCAGCAGCCTCTATACCCCTGCTTAGAGGTCATGCATATTTTGCAGTACAGTTATTTGGTTATCAAAGGTATTGCTGATGTTTCAGATAAGGACTGGAATTTTCTATATATAATTAACAGTAGGGGGTGGTGCTTTTTTGGATAATGGGATCTTTAGATGCTGGAGGTTGAAAGAGAGTGGGAAAGGGACGCACATATGATCTTTCATATAAAGTAGTCTGGTGATAATGCCCAGATCACGCTCCCTTCGCTCGCCCTTTGATGTTCAGACCATGCATCAGATGTGAGAAGAATGACTGACAATCCTGAAACAGTGCATGGTGTCTAATGAGCTCACTGGGGCTCATCAGTCCTGGATTTGACATTTTAATCTGAGCCCCTCAGCTTCCAGCACTTTGATTCACTCTTTTGTTTGCCCACAGCTCTGTGTCATTGAAAACTGGCCATCTCCAGGCCATCTCCAGAAGACAGAGACAGTCCTTCCCATGAATCACAAACCTCTTCAGCTGGTGTCTGCAGTCGTACCTGTCCCTCATCCCTTTCCACTACTGATTGCCATTGTACTCCAGGATTTGGCTTGCAAGGCCAGTGTCTGTCACCTCTGCATTCACACCCCCTGCATATCCACCGTCAGATGGCAGAGGCAAAGGAATTTGTTTTTGCCTGACCACCCACAGTAACTCCAATGTAACCACAGGAGGACTGGCCTTGGGAGTTCCCTGCAATGGCAGTGTGCATCCTTGAGCTCCTGCATATGGCATTTGCTGCAGAAAAACTGGATGCTGTTGAACAGATGGACTGAACCCTATTCTTGGATAGGACTCCCTGTCCTTACCGTGGGGCCCTGCCAGTCATTGCTGTGCATGGGAGCCAACCCAGCCTATCCCAGGGAATAACTGTAGGACTATGCATGCAGGGGCTACAGACCATGAATCCTTACACAGCAGAGGTGCTCTCAACACCTTCATGACTTTCTGTCAAAACAATGGCTCCGTTGGTTTTATGTGAACATCACAGACATGCTGCTGTCTGACTGCATGTGCTGCCATTTAAGAAGAGAAGAACTGAAGTATTAGACAAGAACAATTATATTGTTTCCTTGCAGACACAAGAGACTGTGAATGAACCTTCCTTAACATCTCATGTTAATGGAGGAGGGACAGAGTTTCTCTGCAAATACCAAATACCATTCCCAAACTTCGGATCCCCTGTTATTTTGAGATCCTTATACCCTACCGAATGCTGCAATTCATTCAGCTCCTCGAGGCATTTCTTTCTGCAATGGTCCTGCAGGGGAAAGCAGCTCATGGCCTCGCTTCTTGCAGAGAACCACTGGCTACCCATGCTCTGCAACACCCCACAGCTCTGATGTCCTGGCTGTAGGACAGCTTCTGCTACAGATTGTAGGCTTGTGCTAACCCCACCTCAGCCTCTTACATCCTTGTGTGAGCACAAAGGACAAGCGGGCATAGGGACCAGCTGCCAAGCCAAATGGTGAGTCAGACAGGACACCAAGTAGCAGCAGATCATTAAGTAAATTGAAACACAGCCCTTGCCGTTGAATGCGTAACACTGGGACTCAGACTCTGCCTTAAACTTCCCACAGGGACATCAGTGTGATTCCCCTGTGTTTGGGATTGTCTGCCTTTAAAAGGCAAAATAGTATTTGCTCAATGGCCTAAGAGCTATAGATGAAAATAAGTCCTAGGTTTAGTCATCATTTTGGTGGCTCTGGTTCTGTACATAAATATGTTTAAGTTAAGTTAAGAAATGTTTCCATTTAGTATGTGCTATTTTAATATTTGATTAGGTTTTAGAGGTTGAATAATGGCCTTTGTGACAGATGTGATGTGTCACCTTTCTAGGCTTTTAGAGGGTAATAGTGAATCTCATGACCTTTTACTTCTCAAGAGTCACTCAGACACTGAACTCTGATGACATACGGTGCAAATAATCATTTCAGCTGGCTAGGGCTGGATATTCCCAGCATGGCATTTCAAATCCAGTTCACTTTTCAATGGTTTATTTATAATTTCTGCTAAACCACAGTTAAAGTCATCCAGCACTTAGCTGCTAGATCAGTAACACATGACCCTTGCCAACAGCACAATTTGTTTTGAAGGCCAGTATAAGTAGGAAACTGAGAATAAGTTGATAGGTTAAGAGGTTGTATGTGGGAACTGATGCCCATCCTCTGTCTGAACGTATCGGCTTCCAGAGCTCAGTGCTGTCATCCAGCTAACCTCCCTCTCTGTTCCCCTGCTGCCCATGGCCAGCAGTAAAAGCTCTGTAGTCAGATCTGAGCCTGAAAAAGAAGAAATTCTCAAAAATATCCTTTCAGAAAAAAAGAAAGGCTTCTCAAAAACAAGTCCTCGCCCTTTCTCCTTTGTACACCGTGGTACCAGCATCCACCATCCAGCACCCCACGGTATTTTACACTTCAGCTCTCAGATTCATTCCAGCCTGGTTAGTCCTGTCCTTGCTGCAATCGTGTGCTGGGAGCATCGGCTTGACTCTGGATTGTTTCTTGGGAGCCTTTCCCATCGGCAGCACGCCAGTCCCCTCCCTGCTGTGGCACCCCGCCCCTAGGAGTTGCACTCCTCACAGTGGCAGGAGAGGATGTAGCGGTAGGTGGCCGTGAGCCGCATGCCCCCCGAGCACCGCAGCCTCATGGCCTTCAGCTTGGAGGTCTGGGGGCGGCAGCAGTGGCAGGTGGAGCGGAAGGGCTGCTTCAGCACCGCGCTAAAAGAGACCAGCGGCTCCGAGCGCGATGTCTGGCTGCAGCGCCCCTCGCAGCGAGCCAGCAGCACCATCTGCAAAGGAAAAGAGACACGGGTTAGGAAACGTGCCCCCTCTCGGCTGCTAGAGCGCAGGGAACACCAGCAGATGGCTACCTTCTTCCAGCCTGGCTGGTTTTTTGTCACAGCATCCCACCACCCCGGTGAGAGCACCCCAGTCCCACGCAGTGCTTTGGGTCTGAGCTGAGAGAGCAGAGGAGATAACATGGGCAGGAGGAAAAGCAAGGACTCCTCCTGGAGTCCCTGGCACTGACACCAATGAGGACAACAGGACCTGGAGTGACCTCAGGGCTCCAAATGATCACAGCCAGCCCTGCTTTCCAGACGCTGTGGCTGCAACTGTGACTTGCTGACCCCAGATTTGGGTCAGCCAAGCTCTTAAATCATCAGCCAGGCTGATACTTCGGTTTTCCAGCCTTTTGAGCATGTATACTAGTGGAAAATGTCTCAAATTCTTAGATATATAAGCACATAAAGTAGAAATATAAAGAAGATGCTTAGTTTATTGCTTTAAAGAAGTTTCTAGCTCCCTCCTTTTACAAAGATCACCTTGAATATGTATTTGCAATTGTACGCGTGCATATATACTTATATAATTTCATCAGTTGTATCTGTATAAAATGCATTGCATGGCATAAGGCAGTGCAAATGTAAAAAAAAGATGAACTTGTTGCCAAACATGAGGGTTCCTTAGTGAGATTTTCCAAAAGCAGTGCAGGCCCCATGTTTCTTCTCCTGAGTTCACCATCTGAGCTGTGACCATAACAAGGGAACTTACACAACAGGAGGCACTAAGGAAGGAAAGTCCATGTGCAGTCACCTACTCCCCAACAACCCCTTGTTGAGCAGAGGAGATGGATAGAGCACTAAGCACTGTATAAATCTTGGAGAGGATCCTCTGAAGCTCAGGAAGTTATGTGTTAGAAACAGCTGTTACCACCCTGATAATGGGTAAGTGTTGTACAAGCTTGAACAAACCCTTACACTTTCATGGGGACAGAAATATTAAGTCCACATCAGGTAATTCTGCTTAACCAACATAAACATCAAAATCAGCCTATTATATCATCCAAAGTAGGCAGTGAAACAGTTGTCTTTCCTATAATTAAGGAAGAACATTACCTTTTAACCACGCTGCACATATGTCATGTTTTTTTCCTGAATATCTGAAATGATAACTACAGATGTGACAGCAAATATTTTACAGCATTAAACCCTTTTGGGCCTCTTTCACTACACATGTTCAACTGACTGCAAATCTCCAAGTCATGCAAGCAGGTATGTCAAGTGTTAGATTTTCTCTTTAGTCAGAGTCATAAGGAAAGACAGGATAAAAAGAGAAAGAGAATTTTCCTGATACTAAGCAGGAAATGCCAGCACTGTCTGTGTCCATGGGAAAGGCTCTGATCATCCATTGTACAGTGCTTAAAAATTACTCTTCCAAGGGAACTTGCATGCTAAATGGTTTGCTTAGAAATGTATTCATATATTAGCAACTACAGTTGTAGTCAACACAGAGAAATCACGAGGAATATGTCTTCATGAGCTGATGATCTGTGGTTGATACCATCTTGTTTCTTGGTTAAATTAAGAGATGGGTTCTTGTTGCTCTGTGACAATTTTGCCATCCTTTATGATTTGTAGCATAAATTTATGATCTCCTTCCTGTGATACTGCATATTCATAGACAAATTAACTGCAGCTGTTACTAGTAATATTGTGGGAAGGAAATTTCAGTGAAATGTTGTGTTGAGTCACACCCAAGCTTTAGCTATGTCAAGCTCCTTAACACCAGTGTCTTTAGAGTATAGAGAACAGGGGAACAGACAATTCTTGAAGTGCTAGCACCCCATTAATGTCAGATAAAGACCCATTTATTTCCCCTAGGTAAACAAAACTCACTTCCCAGGCAGACAGCTGCTGAGGGTATTACATTAGATACCAGCTGCACATTAGATACCTGCCTTGCAAAGGAAAGGCAGCAGATTAGGACATTTAAACCAGTTGGTTTCCTTTCTAGCATCTTGACAGCTCTTGTTAGGTCCCTTGCTTTGACCAGTTCACCAGACCTCTGTCACAGGCTATTCCCAAAGATTTGGCTGAAGAGGAGGGTGAAGAGCAATCCAATGGCAACTGAGAAATGCTCGAAGGTTGCAAAGGCAACAGAGCAGAACTCTGCTCAGGAGTGGCAAAGGGGGATGTGCAGCAGCCAGAAGTTGCTTTTTCAGAGGTTCAGAGGAACTCCAGAGTCCCTTCCAACCAACCATTCCTATGATTCTATGATTTCAGCCCAAATACGACAGTGTGGCCAAGGTCACTTCTAATGGCCAATGCTTCTGGAGCTGGAACAGCCAGCCTCTTCTGGTACTGCTGCCCTGAGGGCTTTTCATGGCACACATCTGCTCCTGTATCTGCAGGTATTTTCAGAAATGCCAGGGGAAAAAAACAAATCCCCAAGAAACAGAATGAAGGGCTACAGAAATTTGTAGCAGTGTAATTATAGGGTAGAATTATCTGATGTGTCCATATCTGTGTCTCAATACATTTCTCATAAACAGCTGCTTTCCTAATGCAAACCCAGCCAATATTTATTCAATGTGCCACTGCATTTATAATTGCTTTGCAAGCCTTGTCTTTAAAAACTTGTCTTAGTCTGCGGAGGCTGTAATTTTAATCTCAAATTTTGCTGGCTGTTTAGTTTTTTGTAAGGTGATGGTCAGTATTCATATAATGTAACATTACAGAGTTGGGTTTATGCCCTGTTTCTGGATGACAGTGTAAACTCTTACAAATGGCACAGCACCCAGGGTATCAAGTCAAGCTTGCAGGATTAAAAAAATCCAAAATTCCCATTTTTATAGCTTTCTAACCCTCTGGGCTAACCTGAAGTCCTCGGCAAAATTTAACCTTCTCCTCCTCATAAATCCAGAACAGCACCAGTGGATTCTGGCAGGTGTGCAAATGAGCTGGAAATAGCATGTACTTTAAAAGCTTTGCTTTGCCATTTAATCAATTGTACCAGCTGCTTATTGCATGGTGTACTACAGTGCAATAGAGATTATCACCTAAATAATTAGTAATGCTGTAGTGGCATAGCACAGTAATACAGGGGGTGTATATATAGTAAAAACATGTGGGTATTTGTATTTTATAACCTGATACATGTGCCTCTTGGCTCCCCTCATCCCCTGCACATGTGAGCTTTTGTGTGTCACCTTGTGATGCTGGATCCAGAAGAACAGAGTCCTACAACAAGGGGACCACATGGATCTATGAGCAGCCATGGAAGAATAGGTTTTCTTACTTAAAGTCAACAATCTCATAGCTGCAAAAGAGGGCAAACTGAGGTAATATTTGATTCTGATCATTTGAGCTGTATTCTGGAAATCCAGAAGCTGTGAACTGGTTTGTTATTAATGGTGTTTGTGGTCCTCTTTTCTTCACTCTTCAACAACAGCAGATGGGCTGAGGCGCATGAGAACAGATTTTCACGCGGTATCCATGGCCTGGCTGCAAGCAGGCATTACTGAAAATCTCCTGAGCTACCTCATGAGTCTTCAAACATCTGCTAAATCTCTCTTCATCTGGTCTGTGTCTCTCTGGGCTGGATTCTTTAGTGCAAGGCTGTCAGTGGTAGCACACTTCTGGCACATCTGGACAAAGCACTTGTGACAGCCAAAACTGTAATTTAGGAGGCTCTGGTTGCAGCAGAGAGGCAATCCAGCACATGGATGAAGACCAGTGGGTCTCTGTGACAGAGGTCAGGCAGAATCCAATACAGTCAGGAAAGGCAATACCTCATGAACTGATACAAATATTTCCTTGAAGTCAAAGGAAAACACTGTTTTTCAGGAACAAATGGCCTTCTTCCATCCCTCTTTTGTGTCTCTTTTATACTGTAATGGACCATGTTTCTGAAGGCTTTGGAAAACTGATTTCATCACCTGCCTGAGGCCACAAGCAAAAGGGATTTTAATGATTAAATTATATTGGCTGGATGTTTAACAAAACTGCTTCCCATGTGGATACTATTGGCAGCCTCCACAGAGAAGCAAAGTGGACATAATCCTTTTTAATCAGGATGGACAGCAAATATAATATATCTTGCAATTTCTGAGGTAATTTTTGTCTTCTGTAATTCTATGCTGCACTGAGAGGGAAAACATAAGAAGTAAAAAAGGATGTCTCAGTGAAAATAGTATATCACCCCTAAAAAGGGCAAAGTCTGTGCTTGACATTGTCAGCCCAAGCTTCACAATGGAAACTTGGTGAAAACAAGAAGTACCACAATTCCCACAGCTACTCCCACAGAACCTTCCATTTTTTTACTTGTTTATATTTTATCACTCTCTCTCTATATATATATGTGAATAGACATTGCATCTAGTTTTCATTAACAAGTCTAATATTCATCTGTTTATATGCTAGATCCAGAACAGAAGTTGTATGTCTACCAGGATGATTCAGATCCCTGAGACCTTAAAAAAAAGAGCTTAATCTAATAGAGTCTTCTAGGAAATGTCAAAATTATTTCACTTTTTATGGAAACTGTTTTCATTTTCTACTTCATGAGAAGGTCCACACAACTTGCAGTATTGTTAAAAAAATGTTCTTGAAACCATTGTGGAATTTGGGAAGCCAAAAGATGTGATAATATTTTCAAACATAATTTCCATTAAAGGCTTGATTTAAAAAAAATCACCAGCTTTTTCAGCCAGAATTGCAAATGTTTATGTCAACAGCTCTTTTTCTCAAAGTTCAGTTTTGAAATAATATGGTTTTCATTACAATGCATTCTGTATTCTCATTTCCGTCTAATCCTCTGTCTGTCATCTGTGGCAGACACAGTTTTAAGAAAAACCCAGAGGGTGGTGGTGGCAATGCTGGAGCAGAGAAGGTGGGCACTCAGTGACCCAGTGGCACATCCCAGCCACCAGGCAGCACACTGACAGAGTCCTGAACAGATCAAAGCTCCTGAACTCACGGACTAGGGAGCAGACCCCACCTAACACAACTATCCTAAAAGCCTCCACCAGGACAACCAGATGAGGAGCAAAAGCCTTTGGACTCTGGCAGAGAAGGGAGTGGAGGGTGAAGGCAGCTGGGTGGAGCATTGCCCTCCTGGACAAAACCACCAGGATAGCTGAGGGTCCTCAGGTCTAGCTGGTGATCTGAAGTGCTCAGAGAAGGGAGGACTTGGAGCACCCATACACCATTAAGTAAAACCCACCCACATACCTACACTTATCAGCTTTGCCTCTTGTTGGAGCCAACTGCAATAACATCAATATTGCACAAACAGACGCACCTCTGCAGTCCTGTGTGTTAAAGCTGGATGTTTCCCACATGGTAAGAAGATCTAGTCTGAGCTAAAAGCAAATCAAAAGGCCTCTCCTGAATCACAAGTAGTGCATGATTTTACTGTTTGGATTTGGAAGCAGCAGGGCAAAAATCTATGGGTTCCTACTGCTGTTAATCAGGCAAAGTGAGGCAGATGGCACTGCTGAGAGATCACTTCAAGGCAACCCAGAGCAGGGCTTTTCCCTCTGCCCAGTTTTGAGGCCTCTCTGGTGAGCAGGCACAGGAAAAGCCTGGTTGAAAGAGCATGGCCAGGGCAGCAGCTGTCCTGGTGCACAGGGGGGGCACAGAGCACCGAGCAGGTCGTATTTTCTGTTGACACTTCTCTCTGTGTTTCATTTTAAGTTTTATGATCTGCTGCTACCTATGCTGTTGCCTCACCCCAGCACCAACCATGGGAAGCAACGTGCCTTGTTCTGCACACAAAGCATCCGGGGGGTGTCTGCAGCCAGCGCTGCATCCATCTCAACTGCGGGCATCCTTTTCCTTGTTAATGCTCCCAGGATCCCTGCTGCTGGAGTTTTCCATCAGGCAACATGGCAGGCACCCCTCTTGTCCTAAACCCTGTCACATATCTGCCTCTCATCACTCTCTTGCCCAGCACAGGGCTGGCAGAAACATTGGCTCTGGCAGTTATTCCCTGAATGTACAGACTGTATTAACCCAGATGGAACAAATTAGGACAGGACGAAAGGGACCAGCAAGGATTTTCCCATTGTTTCTCCCCATTCTTCTTCTCCATGCAATGAAATAAATGGCTGTAGGCTACGTGCGCAGGCTTGTAAACCATTTTGACACAAAACTTTTCAGGCTTGAAAACCCAAATGAAAGGCAATTTTGTATTTCTGTCTGCTCCTAAGGCCTACAGTAAACACCCAAGTGTCATTCTGCACGAAAATAAAGGCCTTGAAGTTAAGTGGGGGGCAGGGAGGAAATAAGCAATGCTCTTCACAGTCTTTGTTAGCTACCATTTTACAGCTTGGTTCTTTATCTCAGTGCTTCACCTCTGAAGTTACAAATTTACATGCTCCAGATTAAAGACTCGTTTGAAGGAGGGGGTGATTGGGATGATCTAAACTTCCAAACTAGCCTGTCTCCTTGGCACCCTCAGCTGAGACCCCAAATGAATCCTTAGTGTTCATCCATAGACCCCTTTGAATCTTAGCATTTACTGCATGTGTGGCGTGTTCCTCCTTTTGAAAAGGTGAAAAGAGAGTCCCAGTTCTCATGTGCACACAAGATGTGTCCGCATCCCTAAGTCTCTGAAACCTAGATTTTGGTGGATAGGAATTTATGCAGAGAAAATGAACCAGAATGGTTCATTTTAACAACCCCTCTGATGCAGCTGCTGCAAGGAGGTGAGGGAAGGCCTTACCTTGGAGCTACACTTGTAGAGGGGGTGGGTGATGGAGTCGACGTAGTGGTGCCTCATACAGCGGCTGGGGTCGGAGTCGATCATGAAGGACCTGTCTGTTTTACTGTCCGTGTCTCCCATCATCGCCAGGAGCGAGAGCATGGAAATCGAAGCCGCGAGTACATGATTTCCCATTGTCGAGGAACTTCTCGCTGGTAACAGCAGAGGGAGGTAGAGCATTAAAAAACCTCCAAATCCTGGAAGCCAGTTCCTTTCCAGGATGGTGAAAAGTCTGGTTTAAGTGTCTTAGCTGTCATTCTTCTTCTCGCGTTGGAGTTTGCCGAGATTGTAATCCATCAAAGGATCTCTCTGCCCAGCTGGGATAAAAGCAACATAAATCACAACCCTGACCAAAAAGACCGCTGGAGGAAAATAGACATAAATAATATTAAGGCACACAGGACCTTTGCTACCCAAAATATACACTCCGAGTGATCATTGTTCCCACAGTAGGTAGAGAATATGGCATTAGGAAGGAGATGTCAAGGCCTTGTTAGTTTTAGCATTGCTCTATCCTTTCACTGGGGAGAACCTTTTGACTTTTAACATCACAAGTAATACAATGCCAATCTTTTTCACTTGGTGATGTCCCTGGTGTGTTCCCCTCAAAACTGGTAAATAGTAACACATCGGAGATTTCTGCAGATCAAAAGGACTGTGTAACCACTAAAAGTGTCAAAGAGGGGCAAAGCTAGGCTGCCTCCTGCATTACAGATGGGAATTCGTGGCCTAGGTAGCACATGGAAAGGCTGGAGGCAGGTTGAGCTGTGGCTCTAGGGGCTGTCTGCCTGTATCCTGCAGCTTCTGTGCTGCAGGGACAAGGGACACACCCAGGATGAAGGGATGCTGAAGGTCCAAGCCCAGGCATAACCAGAGTGTCCCCCAGGAAACTTGCTGAGCATGGACCTGCACTGCAGGAAGAACTAGGTTGCTGGCTGTCCTGCCCTCCCGAGTTCCAAACTCACATGTACATGTGTGGATGTGCTTTACCTGCTTACTTGTCAGGCAGCACTTGTTCAGTGTCAGTCTCTTCCACGTTAATTAAAACGCAGCATCTGAAAAATACATGTATTATTCCATAATATCTAAGTATATCCCAGCTATCAATTGGGAAAAAATATGTTTAGGTGAAGTCCTGTGGCTATCTACCTAGGTATCTGGATTTTTGGTGCATGTTGGAGACCAGGAGATTCCCTAGGAAATAAGTGCAGGACAGCCCCTGAAATGCTGCCCAGAGCTTTGTGCCAGCAGGGGAAGGAGGGCATCTCCCTCAGCTGCTTCTTCACAACCCCTTGATCCTTTTCCCAAAGCCCTTAGTCTCGACTGGGTGATTTAATTTCACTTTTACTACAAAGAGCTATAGCTTGAAAGAGTTGTGAATTACCCATCTAAATACAGCCCCATGAAGGACAGTCAAAACATACTCACAAGCACAGTTTAAAAGTGCAAGGACTTTCTGGAGAAACTGAAGATAAAACAGTTCCCTGCTCCTGAAGAAATGCTCCCGCAGAGCCCCTTGAGTATTTAAAGATCTGATGTGTGCCTTTATTGCCTTATACAAGCCTCTTTCAAAACTGTTTGTTGGCAATCCTCTAAACCGACTGATACTCGTCTCCCAGACGTCCCGAATCGACGGGGCCTCCCCACCAGAGTGCTTGATGATTTGTGTTGCTTTATAGCTTGCTCAGACACTTCTGTGAGAGGAGTGCACAGCAGTGACAAACGCTTCCAGAGTTCATCCAAGTTGGGATGGCGCTGACGTGACATACGAAGCCTCAAGCTGGGAATGTTACTAGGGATGCTCTGTGTATTAGAGAGACAAAGATGCTCTGTGTATTGGACACTTTTGTTGTTGTTTCAAACTGTTATCCATGTGCTTAACTAGGAAAGGAACAATTATGGGACTATAGATTTAAATGATAGTATATTTTTTCCCCCCGAGTCTGACAGATGACCCAGTGTATTTTCCTCAGTAAATGTGACATTAAAAAAAATGCTATGTCTTTCTGCTATAAAGAACTTAAACAAACAACACAAAATGCTTAGGCTCTCAGATACATTTATGCACAGTCCCATTCATGTCAATAAATATCCCTCCAAACATTTTTACAGGGTAAGGCAGAAATCTCTCGGTCATGGGAGCTGGGACAGAATCCCTCCCAGAAGTGAGCTGTTCTACTCTAGTTCATGCAGATGATGCCCAAGGATTATCTAACAGGAGGAGTGATGCAATTTTTTTTTCCTCTGTGTTTAACCTTTTACCTACATTCCTATTCTTTTTTATAAAGAGGCTGACCAAAACATGCTGCTTGGCAAGGTCTCTCTCCAACATAGTTAATCAGTATTACACACCCAGTAATTCCCTCTCTGTCCAAATAAATTTACTTGATATTAGACGCTCTCATCTCATGTGTTATTACATCCAGGGATCCTCATTTCCCATTCTCTCTGTCCCACTGTTAATTTTTTGCTTCTATATCTTTCCATGTTTTTGATCAGTATGATTTAATACAGTGAGAGAAATCTGAAGTCCTGGCTCAGTTTTCAAAGGTTTATCACTCTAGTTTTCTTCAGGAAATAATTGGATGACACAGAGTTTGCCTCATGAAAACATTGTGAGAAAGCTGTAAAGACACAAGGAAAAGTGTGAGAAAAGGAAGATGGCTGTACCTTCTTCAGGATAAGCACAGAACAAAAAGTTTTAACACTTTCACAGTCTTTTAAAATTGCCCTGATACTTCTCTAGCAAAGAAATGTAGCAGGCTTTGGCAACAATAGTTTGAAAGAGGAAAAAAAACCTACTGTTATCACATATTTATTAAAAAAAAAAAAGAGAGAAAACAGATGTAAATGTGATCTACCTTCTGTGAAAAAGCTGTGTACAGTTGTGGATAGACATACTGGCAAAACGAGTGTGTAGGTGTATCTCCTGACATACCTATGGGAAATATGCACATACATTTCTCAAGTACATATGCCATGCATAATATATATGGAAGAAAAATTCCTAGAGGGATATTTAAAAATACAGAAGTTAGAGTGTAGATTTTTGATTCTGTAAAAAAAGTATAAACATTTTCACAGAGGTACATCACCATGATGAGATATGTTGGCGTGACGTTTTCCATATCCAGCTGATATTGTGCAATGGCATTTCACCTGAACTTAGTTTATTTTTTTTTAAAGTTAAAGATTGTGTTCCTTTTGAAATGCTGAAATTACAAAATCCTAGACAGCACATGATATCAGGATTCACATATGAGGTTTCCAGCCTACTTTTCTGTCCAAAACCAGAAGGAAGTACACCTGTAATCATTAATCATCATAATCGATGACATTTTGTTTCATTTGGAAAATATACTTTTTTATTAAGATCCACAATTTCACATAGAAAAAATTTTTTCTTCTGTTTCAGCTGTGTTTTCCTCAGTTTCTTTTCATGTAAAAACTGTGGTAGACAGCCCATCTGCCAAGCTAACAAAAAGGAAGGTAAAATGCTTCCTCTTTACAGCATTCTGTAAAGAAAAAGATTAAAAGGTGACTTCATATTCTCAGGCTGGAAATTGTCTCCAAAAATATTTGGCCTAACAGTGGATGAAAATCACTACTTCACATTTTTTTTCAGAATTCACCAATATGGGCAGTACATTTTGTTAGTAATAGGCTTATAGTTCTGTTTCTATATAACTAGTTTGCAGGAATTCATAGAGGCATAACATACTAAAAGCTGTTACAGCTGTTACCCAAAACTGCTACAGCTGTTACCTAAAAACTTCAGGGAAAAATAGAAAGCATCCCAAAGAAAGACCTTATTAACATACAATTCAAGCCTGTATGGCACATGGACATAGGGGCAGAGTTAGGGTTATTTTTCCAACTCTCTGTTCTTGTTAACTGCTTTCTGAATGCTGAAATAAAGATTTCTTACCATAGTCTTAATATCATTTAGAGAGTGGTGAAGGTTAAGGTTTTGTTTTGCTTTAAGGACAGAAGAAAATTCCATCATCTGGAATTATTTAGCCAGTCACTTTGTGAGAACGTAAACAGAAATTCCCTTTTTGCTATGTATCTTGGAAAAAATAAAGGGCTGAGCAGTTCTCCAAAGGTCTATTGAATCTGTACCATTTTTACCCTGGAAGGTAGGAAGAGAGCAATGGAAAAGCTCTTTTACAGTGTACTTCTACTTGGCTGTTCCCTGCTCCTGAACCCCCTGATTTAGACATGAACGTATGTTCAGCTTGGCCTTCATTTGCTGTGCATTTTCTGTGTTCGAGACTTCTGCTTGACCATGGGGGTACAGTTCAAGTCACTCAATGCTTTTTATGCTTTGGAAGCTGCCAAAATCCCGTTGAAACAGGGGTGTGTATATATAACTTAAGCCTGGCCTTGCATGCTGTGCATATTTAGTAAACACAATTACTTGGATCCTACCATGTGGTTCCCTCATTCTGAATTTGTTATGTAAACAGAAGAGTTACAAGACTACTCAGTTTCTCCAAACTCCAGCCCTGAAAAAGTGTCACTAACCATATATGTGTATATGTGTGTGTGTGTGCGTGTGCAATTCACTGCTGCTGTTCTGACAAAAATAAGCCACAAAGTCCTTCATGAGACCAGAAGAGATTTCTCAAGAGCTTTATCTAATCTGGAAAAGTTTAGACCAGAAAGATGAGGATTTGGGGGCTTCATGGTTGAAGGTCTGGACTGGAGAGGGAACAATTGTGTTGGGCAAACTACAGTCAGGCTATACCAGGTTTGTTCTTCAGGGTTAAATTCTCCACTGCCATGACAAGGGTGGCTTGGTCTCTTCACAGAGATCCTTCAGCATCCACAGCACTCAGCTTCCAGCCCACACAACCACCGGCACAATGCCTGGGAACTGCCTGGGAAGCACTGTGTGCTGTGAAACTAAATGGTACAAGTGACAATCCGAGCCATTTAAGAGAACAGTTTATGCAGCACGAGAGACAACCCAAAATGAGATGCTGTGTCTGATCCTGCTTTCTGCTGAATCAACTCAGAGTCTTTGTCAGCTCCAAGGTATCTTTTAGCTCAGTAAATAAATGCAGTAATCTTTTTATCTAGTTATTTTACTGTGGTCATTTCTGTTACAGCAGGGAAGGAGCTGGCCTCCCATATAGGCTATCAAAATCCTCTCTCCACTCTGCAAGCTGTCTGCCAAAACACCCGACAAAGTCACTGAGTGGCCATGTGGCAGCTGGGCAGCAGAAGGTGAACACAGGGAACTCCAATTGTTTGGGAAATGCCTCCACATGCAGCATTTGAACAGGTTTCTTCCAATGCTGAGACAGGGCAAATACCAAACAAAATATTTTGAGTGAGATCCTTACAGGTCTAAATAAGTGAATGTTCACCCAAGGCCTTGTTAAGCCAAAGAGGGTTTGCTCAACTGACATCCAGCTGTGCTGAAGCTTGTCCCCTTTGACACCAAGGGGAATATCTTCACCCATTGTACAGGAGCTCCATCCATCCCTTACACAGCAGGTTGCAGGGCGGTGTGTGCCTTCAAGGGGAGAACACCAACAACATGCACTCCTGGACAGAGCTGGCAGCAGCTGGTGGGTAAGAGGACAGGGGAAGGGAAAAGGGAGCAGGAAGGAAAACAGGCTCAAAAAAAAGGACTTAAATGTCTTCTTCTGGATGTCCACAGGGGGAAAGCCCATCTTCTGGTTCTACTGAGGTTGTGCTGTCCTACCATCTGACTGCTGACAATACATGGTGCTAATAATGCCAGAGTCATGGATTTGATCCCCCTAGAGGCCATTCACTTAAGAGTTGGACTCAATGATCTTTGTGAGTCCCTTCCAACTCAGAATACTCTGTGACTTTGTGACGTTGTCCTGCAAAGCCCAAGAAGATAAAAGGGACAATCAGAATGTCAAACACACCGATCTGGTAGATGAGAAAAACTCCTGTAAATCATTTTCTGCTGTGAGGCTTCCTTACGTATTTTAATATTTCAGGAGATGAGTACCTGTGACTGTAAGCAGATTGAAAAAAGAAAAATAGGAAGATCATGGCATTTGAAGCATAACAAACAACATAGTTATTGCAGCAACATAATGGAAGCATCCTGGGAGCATCAGAATGCATGGGATAGGCACTCATGGGACTGGTTCCTTGGGTTCCTTGGGTTCCTTGGGCAGCTCGTGTAAGGCCCCCATAAGTGTTCACATCGTAGGGACCCAGTGCATGAGATGGAACAAATTCATCTGAACAGCACTTGAGCTGGGCTGAGCTTCCCTCTCCTTTTGAAGTTTCCAAGAGTATTTCCAGCCCTTCAGGTAGGTGGGAGAGGGGGAGCTAACCGTGCCTTCCTGCTAGGCGGTTGAAATAACAAACCCTAGTGGGTACTGCAAGCTGGCACCTGGCCAGCAGACAGGCACAGGCCAACACAGAGAAAAGGATTTAATGCACTCACAAAGAATAACTACTGGGGGACAAAAGAGTGCTTGTATTTTTTTCTTTCCTTTTCCTGCTTCCAGGAAACTTTAAATAGATTGATTAGGGGCATGCATGGGATATCTCTCTAATGAGCCAGTAGAGCCATTTAATGGTGAGGTGATGCCAGCCTTGGATTCTTTCTTTCTTCTTGTGTCTTGCTGAATATCAGAGTAGTCATGGTCTTGAGTCTGGGACAGGAGAGGAATACAGTTTTCCACTTGGTCATCCAGAGAGTTCTGGATGCCATCACTCCTTAGTGAAGCACCAGGCACAGTGCCGAGGTGTCTAAGTAAGGGTGCCCATCCCTCCCGGGAGGCAAACCAGCAAGGCTGGCTGCTGGCTGCAGTGCAAATGTTCCCAGCCAGGCATTAGCTATAGGATTTGCTTCAGTAATTACCTCTACTTTAGTCTTATGACCCAACATGAGGCAAAATGACTCTTGGCCAAATTACAAGTTGCTGAGAGAGGTCTAGGGCATTCAGGCATGTGTCCTCTACCTGTTGGAGTGTGTTGAAAGCAGGTGGGTGGGGTTTGTTCCCTGGTTTTTGCATATCTTACAGAGAACTCAAAGGCTGTAATTATCAATAGATGCAAAGGTAGGAATGAGTTTCTTATTCTTTAATATTAAGCAAAGACTTCCCTGCCACTGGGACCAGCAGAGTGCTATGCATTCTGGAGACAGCACATGATGGAAGGGGATGTTCCCTCTTTTCTGATGTTTGGGGCAAAATCCTTTCTTCCTTTATACACAGGCAAAATTCAGACCACCATCCATATACTTCTAATAATTAGGGAACCTAAATATTTGGCTCATGGTAACAATTTTATGTCTTCTAACAAGGGGAGCAGTGTTCCCCTAGGTCCCACTCCCTTTGAGCCGTGCTGCTATGACAGTAATGTGATTGTCACTGCCATGGTATGCTTAACCTTTGCCAAACCAGAGCTGAGGCATTAACTCAGATCCTCAACTCGCGTCTTAAAGGGCAACATAACCTGTGCTGCCTCCACGCTGCTGGGCTCACACGGTCTGCAGCTCAGTACTAATGAGCACGTAAACGTGACAAGTGTGAGCCGTAACAATGACTGATGCAAAAAGAAAACTAACAAAAGGAAGCTGAAAAATAGCGATGAGGAGGAATTCCTAGGACCGGTGTCTCCATGGCACCAGCAGCCCTGACACCAGAAGAGAGGCTACGCTTGCCTGTGGTAGAAAAGATCTCCATGCCACACAACGGAATTCCAACAAACAGGACAAGGACTGATGGTGTCTGGAAGTGGTAGTGCCACTGCTACCCAGATAATAGTCTGAATTAGATGATGTGAAAAAAGAGGGAATATATAGACAGGCAGCTGCTCAAAGGCTTACTACAACCTTGCTTTTATTGTTCTGCTAAGTTAGAGGTGGGGCATCAGAGGGATTCCTTACATACCACTACTGAGAAATTTTAATATGTTCCACACTGACACAGATAAAAAGGAAATAACAGCTGATCATAGTCAGAGGAGCCTGCAGCATCTCTTCATATACATGTACAGAATACAGGCAAAGTGCTCTTGGCTCAGACACCCACACTAACCTGACCCAACTAAACCTTTCTCCTGACACTGAGCTGAGTTTCAGCAAAAGGACTGTCAAGTGGAAAGTCAGGCAGCAGAAAAAAAGAGGTGATCTGGGCATGGATATTCACCCCATCCCGAGATACCAGGACATGGAGAAGGATAGGGGATCTGAGAGGCAGAACACTTAACACTGATGAAAAGAAACACATGTTTACACAACCGACAACGATCCGATGGAACAAGATATCACAGAGGGCAAAAGTTGAGCTGGGCTCAGCAAAAGGAGCTGTTATGCATGGGAGGGTTACAGTCACAGAGGTTTTACTTTTAAAGAGCTTTTGGAAGGGCTATAAACTCTTAGGATGCTGAAGGTTCAGTTGATGGGGTTAGGGAAAAATCCTTTGCCACAGCGAGTTGCCCTGTAGCTGCCTGCCACGGGGTCTCTATGTCTTCCTTTGATGTGGCCACTTCCAGCCACGCTCAAGAGGTGGATTGCTCAAATAACATGGGTCTGTGGCACAGCCTCATGTAGCAAAACTTTTTTAAAACTCAAGACTCTCCTCATAATCAGGAGGACATTAGAGAGAGGGGAATTTGTAACACTGATAATACAACTATCAAATATTTATAATTGTAATTACAATAGGGATATTTGGGTGTGGGGAGAGATGAATTTTTTTCTATTTACAGTTAAACAAGTAATCCACTAGATTTGTTGCAAAAACAAATGTCTCAGTGGCTTCATGCAAGCTTTGCACCATAGATAGTCAACTCCTTTCAAGGTCCAAGAACAACCTTGAGCACTTCCTAGTGCATCTGAGAGCAGACAAGCCAGGAAGGGAACAAAATCAGCCTCAGGGGAAGTGGGGAATGAAGCCAAGTCCAGGAGGACTGCCTGTCAAATGAGTCAAGGTAGGTATCAATGTGAGCTCCCACCTGGGCAAAAGAGACTGCAATCCTGGCAACACAAGCAGGCAGGAACATACAGATGCTATCACAAGCCTCAACGGCAGGTGAGGGATTGTTCCAGTGGGACAGGTAGCTTTTGTGGAAATCAGCCATGCATAAGCAGCTACCTGGAGCGCTGCTACTGCAAACTGTACACAAGACTACCCATAACAAGTATCCTGCTCTGCAAGGGGCAGTCAGCAGCATACAGGCATCTGACCAAAACCAGGAAACCTACGTGGGACACCTTCAGGTAGAGAAATGAGCTTGTAACTAATCAGCACCAGCTCCTGATTATACCCTGCCCCTAAATCAAATTGCATTTTACTTTGTAAACGCATCTTTGAAACATCTACTCCTCACAGATTTACTTTTAACTGGAAAATATTTAAAGCATTGTTTTATGGTACCAGTTTCGTAAGTCAGATTTCATTATTCCAGCAAGAGCATGTCCATGTATGTATAAGTCACATTGGGAACCCCCGATTCAAGCTGGTAAGTAATTACTCATCAAATAGTTCTATTTAGGTCCAGGGAATTATTCATGTGTATAACTACTCACAGATATGAGTAAGATCACACAGCCTGCACACAAATGAGCATTGAGCATCATTAGTAACTTAAAAGAAAGGGGAAAAAAAAAAAGAGGTCCTGAAATGTAGATATTCTTATATTCTTTTGAGGAGGGACAAATAACAGCACTGTGATTATTATATCCACTTTTATTGACCAAACTAGACAGCTGGGTTACTTCTATTAGAAAGTAACTTTGCAATAAGGAACTGATTTGAAGTTAATTTGTCCCCATTGCTGGTTTCAAATAATCATTTGCTTTCAAGTGAATTGTCCCCACTACTGGTTTTAAATAGTTATTTGCCTGTCCTTTTTCAATATGCTGAGTTCCTACCTCTCAGCCACTGGGACAGTTGCAAAGCTTTAGAAACTGTAAGTAACATTTATCATATAGGAAACATTTTTTTTCATCTTTCAAGAGCTGCAGAAACCTTAAAATGTTACTTGCCATGCCATCTGTCTCAAGTAGAAACAAATAAGACGTGTTATGGGGGTGTTATGAGACCCCTTTAAATGAACTTGAGGGGTAGGATAAGAAATCTGCCTGACAGTCCCTTGAGAGTCAGTCCACACATACACCATCTTGTAAATTCAGATTTGCCACAGGAAAATTGCCCCCCCAGCACACACTGCAGCATTTACCTAACCCGGGACTGAGATTGGTCTGCACATGGTTTATCTTTGTTGCTCTGTTATTTGCCACTGGACCCATTCATTTGAACCTTTATAGGATGAATTCACTCACCTGAATCCCAACAGGGAGACGGGGCTCTCTTCCTCAGCCAGGATCCCCTGGGGCAGTGTCCGTTCCCGAACCTCGCAGTGCCACTACACTGACACTTTGTCACTGGGCTCATAACAGTGAAACTCTTCTTTTGTCCCAAAGAAACAGAGAACAGCTATACTCGTGCCTCTGGCGGTGACACACAGGGAAATGATCTGCCGGGAACGGAGGAGAGCCTCCCTCTCTCCTTCAGCTGGCGGTCTGGGGTCCTGCAGCATCCTCCCTGTCAGCTCCCGGCTGCACAGCCACGCCGCATTACGTGTCACGCTGACGGGGTCGGCTACCTACTAAATATACCCCTCGGCATTACAGCAAAGGCAAACACCGTGGCTTCCCTCACAGGTTTCAGCCAATCAAGAGTGTATGTTAAATCTGTCCTAATGCACAACCAGCCCACCCCACAGGGAAAGCCTCGCAGAAGTTTGGGTAAATAATAATGTGCAAATTAAGAGTGCTCCCTCGAAGCGTGACACACAAAGCTAGAAATAAATGTTGCCTGTTGTTTCAAATTATTCCAAGCACTCCAGCAGATGACTGGCAAGAGCACAGCATGCGTAAGGAGTGATAAAAGTAAACAGTCCATCTTTAAACTAACTGGCTTGCCTGTGCTCATAGAGCCCTGTTGCAGTGTGACAAAGAGGGTGCTGGCGATACCAGGGCTCTCTCCATGAATTAAGGGCAGAGTCCAGCCTGTCCATTCACTCCAAAGACATACAGCCACAGAGCTGCAGGCAGGAGCCCGGCATGCTCACAAGAATTGATGTTTAACCAAGTTGCTCAGAAGCACCCTGGGCTACCTATTTGACTGCTTACAGGCATCCTTAGGACAGGAGATAAAGGTAGAAGGAAAAGAAGGAGACACAGGTACTAGAGCTGTGTCGTTTCCATTTAGACACACTAGAGTTAAAAAAATGGTACAAGGACAACATGTATGTCAGAGAAAGACAGTAAGCACCCAGTTTAAGTCCACGTAATACTCAAAATCTGTAGGAATCTCTAATTTGTGTGCTTACCTTTGGTAAATGCACCACTCCTTCCTCCCCTTGAACTCTTCAGAGAGCTAAAAAGAGGTCCTGTTACTTCCAAATGCTTTTGTTCTTCTGTCCCTCTGTCACATGGCTTGCCTTTTATATTTGCAACACACAAAAGTTAGGGCTGTTGTTTAAGAGAGAGAGGGGGAGAGAGAGGGAGAGAGAGGGAATGTCAAATGGAAAAGTGCCATTGCAGTCATATATCAATCAGGGCAGCAGCAGCAGCAGCTCACTGGCAAATGGGAATTCCACAGAAATGTGAAGCTCTTGTTATCTGAGAAATCACAAAACACCACCAGCCAAGCTCCCCTCTGCAGGGACTTATTATTGGCAAGCCAGGAAATAGAAGGAAATGTAGGCGCTTTTTTAATTGTTGTTATTGTTTTGGATCTGGAGATACTTACACTGTGGTATATGCAAGCCAGTGGAATATAAATCCTGAATCAAATTCCTTCCTGAACAAATGCACTGTGGGCAGGATAAAGCAAACCACTGAGAAGCAAGGTAACAGAGCTAATTGAAGAATCTGACAGTAATGATTTAAAGAATTTGATAACTGTTTGCACTGGGAAAATATCCATAGAAAATCTACCTTTTTCCTGGCTTACTCATTGATCTCCTTTTTTTTTTCCTGACAAGTTTTTCTTAGATTTTTTTTTTAACTGTGATTGATCTCAGATATTCTGAATTCAAGCTGTACTGTTTCACTACAATTGGTCACCTAAATCATCTGACATTCCCTGGCTCTCCAGTTGGGTAAGCAGACAAGCATTTTCTATATAAAATTCCGCTTCTTCAGACAACCTGCCCTGAAATTCTGAAGTTTCTCTCAAACAAACTCAGAATTTTGCTCACAGAAGAAAACATTGTCTTTTTGCTTTACACACCTTTCTCTGAAGAATTCCAATTTAGAAAAAAAAAATCTTTCAAACCTTTTATAAAAATATTGTGGTTTATGCAAAAAAGAAGTATAATTTCCTGAGGGACTGAAGGCAGAAACCATCCACTGGACAACCCCATTTACCAGAAGCACATCACAGCTCTGGATGCGTCAAACCCTCTTCTTTACTTCCACAGGGGAGGGCATTTCCCTTCCCCGTGGAGTTGCCCCTAGTCATCCTGCAGTGTTACAGGAAGCACAGACCTAAGCTGGTTAATTAAAAAATAGGCAACATAGCTGGCCATTCACAAGCTGGATCTATTCAGAGGCACTGGCCAGCAGATGGACGGGGTCCTGTGCCGACTGTGTTTGAACTCTAAAGGAAATTCACTTTTTGATGGATGATGTTATCAGCTAAATGTCTTATGTGGTATAAGATCAAAGAACAGATGGAAATTATGCCTTAAAAATAGAATAATCCAAAAGGGGGATGGCCTGTAGTTGAGTAAGCATCATGGAAACAATAAAGGAGACTTTCTTTGGCTTGCTTTGCTGTAAAGTCAGGTTTGACTGGTGGGATAAACAAATGACCCACTTAGGGCTGAGATTCTTGGGGTGTGAGTTTTGCTGCACATTTTTTCCCTCATATTCAGTGTTTACATTGTTTTGCCTCTTAAGTCAGTCTTGGGTTTCTTTCACCAAACATGTGTGTCACCAGCATCTTTTCCTTGCTGTAATTGCAGGATGAAACATTACTGATAATCTGGCACTAAACTTCCCTTAAACAGACAGACTACACACAGCAATCTTTTTTAATTTAGCCAACACCTTCCTTTAAAATGAAGGCTATTGGCCCTTTGGTCATTGTACTGTTCTGTTGTCTCTCTTTTTCCATAGGCAAGAAAGTGATTTACACATTCCAGTTATTTACACTAAGGACCTGCCATGTGCAAGGCCTTGCTAAGTAGCTCCTGCATGAAATCCTCCAGGAGACAGTAGATATCCTACTCATGGACCTTACTGAAAATGTTGCTTTAGATTTTTTTACTGGTACAGCTTAGGTTTCTTATATTTGTGTCATCTACAGGTAAAAATATCTGTATTAATTTTTGTTGGGTGCCAAGCATACTTTACACACTCAACAATTATCAATAATACCTCTAACAGTGGAATTTCTGAGTGCTCAGAATTTTGCTACCACAATATAAATTCCTAATACAGGAAAATAAGCAAAATTTTTCAAAAAATTTAAAGCGACTTTAAATTTTTATATCTTCAACTTCCAGACCCTGTTTGGCAGCCAGTGGAAGTTAATCAGCAATTAATTGACTGCACAGGCTGGTGACTTATAAACTGACACTCTCATTTGTGGCCTTCTGAATGAACTTACACAAGATCACAGGCACAAAAGTAGAAACATCGAATGTAGCCTCCCCCCACCTCAAGAACATTATGGCCCATAACTTTTTCATAGCTGTTCATAAATCTTCAGCCTCTCTCAACTTCTGTGACTTAATCCCACCCATAAAACCAGTCATTTTGAAGAAACAAATAAAAGTGGAAAGCACAGGAGCTCAGAGCTCAGTTTTCAAAGACGATTAGACATCTGAGATGACCCCAGATATTAGATAATATTTCCAGAAGATTTAAGGTATCTGCTCCTATCAGTTCTGATCTGAGTTCCCTTCAGAGGGAGTTTATCTCACTTCAAAGTAGTTGCCTGAAAACAAAGTGTAGGCTCTTCCAGCAGCAAACGTAGAATTCCTGTCCCAAACTACTTTCAGTATAAGCCCATTTCAGATTGGCATCAATTGCAAATTTTGTCTCTGTCAACAACCACAAATATTCTGCTGACTCAGTTGAACTAAATATCAATCTTTTTGAATAGAGAAAACCATGTGAGACAAATCCCTCCCTCAAGGCCTCATGCTGTAATTTTGAAGAGATGGAGATCTGACTCTGCATGGAGTTCTACCAATCTCCCTGGTTCAATCCCCATAAATTACATTGGAGGCCTGCAACCCTCATTTGCAGATTTCCTTATTCCACCACTGTATGATCTACAAGACCCATGTTTGTCCTCGGAAAAGTATTGTGCTGCCACTACCTGCAATTCAGTGGGATCCAATTGTTTGCCCTGTTGGCATCACCAAGCTCAGTGTTGCTTCCTCAAAGGAGCAGGATTTCATGTCTCCATCATGCATGTGTTGTGAAATGCATTCAGACTTGTGCAGCAAAATCGATATGTCGTTTTCATCTGAAGCATTTTACAGTGCTGCCACTTTGCAGTCTTCCCCAGGCAATTTTTACATTCTGAGACAGTGGATAACAGACCTCCATGTCCAGAACTCAAATGTGCTGTCAGAACATGCACTACTTGGTATTTGTGCTAGTTGTGCCTGCAAAGATCATGAAAGGAGTACACATGCAAGGACAGTTTTTAAATGTACATATATACTCATGCACAGACTATTGCTGCAAGCAGTTAGAGGGAGTAGGATGCATTGGAATGCTTTTCAGGGAAGGACAATGCTTTGTTCCATTACTGAATTGGTGAAGGGTGTTTTATATTTGGGGATTGGCCATCAGTATTCTTTTCATAGTTGGTAATGTAGGAGGAACTGAAAGTATTGTATTGACAGTCTGCAGCAATAAGCAACATAATACTTATATAATGAATATATACTTCATGCAGATAAGAGGTACCCAGAATTCTTAGAGGAAGTATTTTCTATCATTTTAATAATGACAACAAAATATTAGACAAATAATATTCCCAATAAATAAAATTACACACCCACATACAGCAATGCAGGACCAGGAGACACAAAAGTCTGTTTAGGCACTCAACGTTTTTCATCTCTTCTTTCTCCCCATGCTGCTTTATTCAGATTAATTATGCAAATATATTTAAATACCAAACCACATATATTCTTCAGTAACCAGAATGTGCCACTTCTTTCAATGTTTATGTGTATCAATGAATGTGAGTTGTTAAGAAACAGCATCTGGAAATGTTTTTTTTTTGTTATTTGTACATACAGAGTTATTAAAGCAAGGCTCCCTTCATCTAGGGAATAAGGCTGCTATGGAAAAGACCGTGAAAACTGGTGAAAGGCTGAGCTATTTTCCTATTCATTTTGTGACAGAAGTCCAAAAGACATATTGCCTATGCACAATAGCCTGTGGGTTGACTTGAAAATGTGACTCTCCCACAAATTTTTCAACTCCTTTAAAAGCCCCTACAGGATTGCTGGCTGAGCAAGGGGCAGCACACCCTCACTAGATAGCAAGCACGTGCTGTGCCTCCTCAGACTGCCAAAGTGTGTGTTCTTTGGTGTCCCTCTCCAGGACAGCAATAAGATGCAATACTCCTACCGAAGCACTGCAGCTTCTTACATGCCCAAGGAATTGTCCAGAAATTTAATTTTCTCTGAGACCCCAGCCTTGCTGTTAAAGTTGGCTGAATTTGGGCATCTGGCTGAAAAACTAAATGGAGGCACTAACATCAGGGCAGAGAGAAAAAAAGGCAATTCAATCCTATGAGAAAAGCATAAATAAGAGACTAAAGATGTCTGTTTTCTACCTTCAGGCTGCTGCCAGGTAGAGAGTCTTTCTTCTAGAAGAGACTGGGGCCACCATGATCCCCATTCCCATCCCCTTTGGAGTGACTGGCTGCACCTCTCTGGTGCCCTTTGCCACTACTTTATACCTAATAAAGACAGAGGACAGTTACTGTGTTTCTCTGAAATTCAGGAACATGAATGAGACTCTTGGGAGATTTATCCACCCTCCCTGAAGGCAGCTATCTCAGTCTCAGCTGGGCTCCTCTTATTGTTGGTGGAAACCACAAATAGGTACTGCCTGAAGGGCTGTTCACTTGCTCATGATAGGACGAGGTGGGGCTGTCTTTTGACAGTACCTATTTATCTCTATTGATAACAAAGGGAGCCAAGAGTGACTGGTTCAGATTTAGTCATCCAGCTGTTGAATGCCTTGGTTAGGGCAGATGAATTCCACCTTTAAGGTTGTTTCAAATTATCTTATAAGCATATGTGGTAGATACGTAACATACCAGGTAACTGTAGTTGCACATGGGTCAATGTTAAATATCTCACTTTGTTTGCCAAGGCTGCAGGGAAAGTTTTGCATCAAACAGTGTGAGATAATGACATTTGATGTGCAGTGTGCAGTTTGCAGCATATGCCTTCCATCTGATAGGGGTAGAAAG